CTCTCCGCTAGGGCTGACGTCTCCTCAGTGACCGACGGCCACGGCACACGGTCCACATGGCGATGAAGCTGTTGCCCGCGTTCCCACAGCCCTTCTCCATATTCTGAGAGTGCATTTAGAGAGTGATCCACGGGAATTTAACTACGCTGGGCGTTATCATTTTACATTTTAAATAACTGCACAAAATAAACTGGAAATCAGCGCCGTCAGATGAACGAGCGTGTGACACCGACAGCCTCGGGCCGAGCTCCACTGCGACGGCCGAAGAGCAGCTGCCCGCAGTCGCTCTGCAGGGCCAGGACGGCCCCCAGTTGAGGCTCGGGCACCCGAAGCTGAGGTGCCATTCATGAGACGAGAACTTCTGACAGCCTCGGGGAGCAGGGGCCGTGGTGCGGGAGGCCCTCACTGCCAGGGCCTCAGCTGCCTCCCCACACGGCCCCCTGCTCCCAGGGACGGTCTGGGGCGCGTCAATCCCGTGGCCCTCCCGGGGGGGACACTCCCATGTGGCCCAGCCTCTGCAAGAGTGTCAGCATCCTCTGGCTATAGAGTCACCGCCTGTCGGCAGCCCACAATGGCAGCTCGGACCAGGTGGCCATGGCTGTGTGCTGCTGCCCTCTGGTGGGGAGGCACAGGGCTCGCCGGGCTGGGGTGCCAGGCCCTGGCCCCTGGTGCAGTCTGTCCACACTGGGACCCGGAGCCAGTGGCCCAGGGAAGCCAGCACTGCTCCCACTTCCCTCGGGCCCGGCCACCAGGCCCTGCTGGGCGCTCCCTCCTGATTTCGGGGGCAGTTCCCTTCCAGTGAGCCCCCATGAAAGGCTGCCCACACTCTGCGGAGGGCCCGCACCCCAGAACCTGCCACGCCGTTTCCCAGGCCGCTGCTCTCCTGAGTAACGCCACCTCCCCCACCAGTGCTGGCCTCTCCAGCACGGGCCTTTGAGCAGCGGGCACTTACCCTGCTTTGGTCCCTGGGGGAGCTGGGGCCTGGCTGACCACGAGGATGCCAGGAAGAGACCTGGCCTGTGGTGGGGCAGTGCGGGCTTCTGCAGCGAGGCGCCGGTGGGCCCTCGGTGCGCAGGAAAACGCCCTGTGAGCAGGGCGGCCACATCAAGGAGGGGCTGGAGGCATCAATGTGCACACCCGACTGTCAGGTCCCGGCTGGCCCCGAGAGGCAGCCGCACGCCCAGCCGTCAGGTGGGTCTGCTGATGCCGGGCCCGGCCGTAGGCGGGGGCCCCCCCGGCGGGCACGCGGGGCT